GAGCGATATATATTGAACAGGCGAGTGTGTGAGCGAGAGTGTGAGGGAGTGTGTGAGCGAGTGTGTAAATGAATGTGGGAAAAATATATATAGAACAGGCGAGTGAGTGAGCGAGTATATTAACGTGTGTGTAAGCGAGTGTGTGAGCAAGTGTGGGAACGAGTGTGTGAGCTAGTGTGTGAAAGCAAGTGAGTGTCTGAGCGCGTGTGTGAGCGACTGTGTGAGCGAGTGTGGGAACGAGTGTGTGAACGAGTGTCTGAGCGAGTCTGTGAGCGAGTTTGCGAGCTAGTGTGAACGAGTGTGTGAGCGAGGTTGTGAGCGAGTGTGTGAGCGAGTGTGTGAATGAGTGTGTGAGCGAAAGTGTGAGCGAGAGTGTGAACGAATGTGTGAACGATATATATTGAACAGGCGAGTGTGTGAGCGAGAGTGTGAACGAGTGTGTGAGCGAGTGTGTGAACGAGTGTGTGAGCGACTGTGCGAGCGAGTGTGTGAGTGGGTGTATATCTAAAGTGTGTATATCTATGTGTGTATATCTAACATATACACACACTATCTGTGTATACCTAAAATATACACACACTATGAGTGTATATCTAAAATAGAGTTGCGTAGAGCTTTAAAATGAGGAAATTCGCCTTCTAAAACCCTTTAAAAATAGGAAGCACGAAGTCATTTTTTAATGTTAACGTAAAGCCCGATATCGGACCTTAATATTGACCCATAATATTTTAATTGGACCACGTATTATATTACAGGGTAATAGTGTACCCTACCACAGGAATTAATTATAAACCCCTTAGGGAGTACACTATGTATATTTAAAATAGTGCATTAAAACAAGGAAATTTGAAGACACTTTTCAATGATAACAAATGGCACGATAACAGCCCTTAATATTAACCTATAATATTTTAATTGGGCCAATGTTATATTACCTAGGTATAGTGTACCCTACCTGAGGAAATAAATATAGACCCCATAGGGGGTACACAACGTGACCCTAAAGTTTATTATGTATTTATATCTAAAATAGAGTTGCGTAAAGCTTTAAAATGAGGAAATTCGCCTTCTAAAATCCTGTAAAATTAGGAAGCGCAAAGTCATTTTTCTATGTTAACGTAAAGCCCGATTTCGGACTTTAATATTGACCCACAATATTTTAATTGGACCACGTATTATACTACCTAGGAATAGTGTACCCTACCAAAGGAAATGATTATAGAACAACTAGGAGGTACACAATATGGCCCTGTATTTTACTCTTTATGTATATCTAAAATAAGTGTTCTGAAAAGCTTAAAATAAGGAAATTCACCTTCTAAAGAGCTTTAAAAATTCAAAGACATATTTCAATGTTAACTAACGCAAGGCGCGATATTAGACCTTAATATTGACCCATAATATTTAATTGGACCACGTATTATATTACCGGTTAATAGTGTACCCTACCAGTGGAAATAATTATAGGACAATTAGGAGGACACAATGAGGCCCTGTATTTTACTATGTATGCGTATCTAAAATAAGTGTTCGGAAGAGCTTAAAATGAGGAAATTCGCCTTCGCCCTTTCAAATTAGGAAGCGGGAAGTCATTTTTCATCGTTAACGTAAAGCCCGATATCAGACCTTAATATTGACCCATAATATTTTAATCGGACCACGTATTATATTACAGGGTAATAGTGTACCCTACCACAGGAATTAATTATAGACCCCATAGGACGTACACTATGTATATTTACACTGGTGTGCAAAACTTAAGCAACAAGTGCGTTTTTTGTCATAACTCTACAAGAAATCATCCGATTGACATGAAATTTGAATATGATGTACATTATTTTATACTTAAACGATGGTAAAAGAAGAATGGCTCAGAAATGAATATAAAGCTTAAAGTAGGGTATGGAACAAAAAAGGCTTTATTTGACATATAGTGGCGTTACACATGATTGCCTGAAGAAGCGTAAGTACAACTGGCAGATGTTCCCTAGTATGGGATATGCCCTCCCCTTACTGTAATTGTTGCTTGGCATCGTCTCTCCATGCTAAGCACCAGATTATCCAGGAGTTCTTGGGGTAAACGTCTCCATTCCTCCTTTAACGCATCTTTCAGCTGATGGGTGTTACCAGGAGGATACTGTCGTGTCGCAAGACGTCTCCCTAATGCATCCCACACATGCTCTATGGGATTTAGATCTGGAGAGTAAGCTGGCCAATCCATTCGTGTGATATCTTCACTTTCCAGTAGCTCTTGAACATTAGCAGTACGGTGTGGCCGGGCATTGTCATCCATAAAAATGAAGTCTGGTCCAATGGCCCCTCGGAACAGACGCACATGGGGTAGGATTACCTCATTGCAGTAGCGGTTTCCAGTTACAGATCCTCGGTCGAAGAACTGAAGCTCAGTCCGCCCTTTCAACATAATGCCACCCCAGACCACAACTCCAGGACCACCGTAACGATCTCTTTCCGCGATGTTATTGGGATGAAATCGAGCTCCAACCTCTCTCCAGATCAACTGACGTTGAGAATCGTTTGTAGCACTAAAACGACTCTCATGTGTGAAGAGGACGCGACTCCATTGATGAGATCTCCAAGTGTCGTGTTCTCTGCACCACTCTAAACGGTGCCGCCGATGGCTAACTTTTAAAGGTATGCAACGTTCAGGACGTCTAGTAAATAAGCCACCTTTGTGGAGGCGTCTGGAAACTGTAAATCTTGATACTTGTCATCCTGTGGCTGTGCACAGTTGCTGAGATATGGCGCTCGCTGACTGAAAACGGTTTCTTTTTGCCTGGAGGACAATGTAACGGTCATCTCTTGGTGTTGCTTTCCTTGGACGGCCTCCACCAACCTTCCGAACTGCTGTACCAGTAGTTTTAAAGGCATTCCAAGGACGAGAAAGAACACTTTTGTTGATCCCGAACTCTTCGGCGACGCTGGTCACACTATGCCCCTCCTCAAGCTTCCCAATCATTCTTCCTCGAGTAAAGTCGTCTAAATGATTTCTTGAAGACATGTTTCACAAAACAAACCACTTGCACTTGCAGCGAATGTCTTTAACTACGGCGCTCTTCCCCCTTTTATCACAGCTTTGACCAGCGCGCGCCGACCCACAAGGTTTACGTACACTTACATCACCTACGACCTTTTATTTCTAAAATTTGCATACAAATAATCTTTCTACTGAATTACGTGCATATTATACTGCAATTTCATGGCTATCTTATACTTTGTAGGGGAGCTGCGGCCAAAAAGCCACTTGCTGCTTAAGTTCTGCACACCAGTGTAAAATAATGCATTAAAACAAGGAAATTTGAGGACACTTTTCAATGCTAACAAACGACACGATATCTGCCCTTAATATTAACCTATAATATTTTAATTGGGCCACGTATTATTTTACCTAGTTTTAGCGTACCCTACCAGAGGAAATAACTATAGGCTCTATAGGGGGTATACAACGTGACCCTAATGTTTACTATGTATTTATATCTAAAATGGAGTTGCGTAAAGCTTTAAAATGAGGAAATTCGCCTTCTAAAACCATTTAAAATTAGGAAGCGCGAAGACATTTTTCTATGTTAACGTAAAGCCCGATATCGGACCTTACTATTGACCCATAATATTTTAATTGAACCACGCATTATTTTCAACATGGTTTTCGTTAAGCGTATCTTCAAAATATTCTCTCCATCTTTCTTCGATCCTCTCATCCGTAGTAAGTAACTTATTGTTTTTGTCTCGTATTGCACATTGCGAATTTCGTTTATTTTCTTTTATTTGTTTTACTTTCTGATAGAAAGTACTTATTTGTCCTTTTTGCGCTGCACTTTGAGCTTCAGTGGCAAGGTCTGTGAAATATTCACTTTTGTCTTTTCTGGCTGACTTTTTTACTTCTCTATCAATTTGACTTTACTGCTGTCTATACCGATTAAATAATCATTCAGACTTTGTAGTACCTTAATATTGACCCATAATATTTTAATTGGACCACGTATTATATTACCGGGTAATAGTGTACCCTACCTGTGGAAATGCTTTTAGGTCAATTAGAGCGTACACAATGAGGCCCTGTATTTTACTATGTATGCGTATCTAAAATAAGTGTTCGGAAGAGCTTAAAATGAGGAAATTCGCCTTCTAAAACCCTTTAAAATTAGGAATAATTTTTTATTATTTTTAATTTGCTAAATGACCTTTCAGCTGCTGCAGAAGTGACAGGAATTGTAAAGAATAATAACATTACTGTAAATACTTCCGTTAGGTCGCATTCTAGCACTCCATATTTGCTCATTATTTCCTTACATAATTGGTGAGCAGTCCATGCTTGAGTTAGTTGAGGTAAAACTAGGTGGTAAATATTAATAAATTGAAGTGAAAAACTAGGGCCTTATATATCTGAATATTTTCTTTGGAATTCGTCACACTTTTGTAATAAAGTTGCTTCATCAGCATGTAATAAAAATGTTGATGTTAGAAAATCGAATATATGACAGACTGCACTCATACCAATAAAACGTGTATCTAATTGAGATATTACTGTGTCTAGTACATTATTGATTATCTCAATTTTAAATATTTTTTCTCGGTTTGGAAATCGGTGATCAGCAGCTAATTCATCAAAATGTTTTTTAACTTTTCTTTGCGTCCCGGAGTGGACTGATCGTTAAGACACGGTTCCCAGCAGATCACCGAAGTCAAGCATCACTGGCTGCGGTCAGTGTGCGGGTGGGTGACCACTTGGATCAGCCTGCGTAGGGGCCGAGGGTGTGCGGTATTGGTCCTCGTTAAACTGTTCTACCGTAAAGTGCTAGACTTCGCGTGCAGGTCGACGGGCTACCGAAGCGGGGGAGCCATCCCCTCCGCAGAGGATCAAAATTGTGATGGAATGTCTTCGGATCATCCTCAGGGATGTTTCCCAGACCGTCGCCAATAGCCCATTGTGCAGTTCTAGTACGACGTAAATGAACAACAACAACTTTTCTTTGCCTTTTTTCTTAAAAATGGGTATCAGCACCTGATTTTCTTGCAGTTTCACTGGCTTTGCACTTGAATAATTCGAAATCATTTCTATAAATTTGCAACTTTGCTTTGGTCTCTGCTACAACTTTACTCGCCTCGCCCAAATCGATGCCGCATTTTTGTAAAGTTTTGGATGCATAATTGATGTCGTTCAATACACTGTGCATGAACTCGCAAAGAAACACGAACTCGAAATTCAGCATTTTTGTTTTAATACTCTCTGCTTCACTACGCTCATCTTTATTAGGACTCTTTATAACTATTTCTGATAATGCTTTGATAATATCAAAATAACGAAGTTTTATTGCACATATCGTATTGACCCTACTGGACCATCTAGTCGGATTTAGTTTTTTTAGAGTGGTGTCCGATTCGCCAGTGAATTTTGACAGTAGATCCCAACGTTTGATGCTGTTTCCGAAAAAGTTATACAAATCTTGCAACGTTGCGAAGAAAATCTGTATTTCCACACAACTGCTAACGGCATCATTTATCACCAAATTTAAGTTATGAGTGGCACCATGTACGTACTCTGCGTTAGGCTGGATATCCTTAATATGTTTTAGTACACCATTATACACACCACTCATCACACTGGCTCCATCATAGCTTTGCCTCACACATTTTTTTAAATCAATATTTTTGTCGATAAATAATGTTGTCACTTGGTTGACTAAATCTACTGCGCCATATTTGATGGCTGCATAAAAGCCTAGAAACACTTCTTTTACTTCTATATCAATTGGCTCTCCATTTTCCGATCTGGTTATTACTGCATACCTCTCAACAATGTTTAGCTGATTTACCTTCGATATGTCCTGTGTTGTATTCATTATGATGGCAAAAAACGGTGACGCTCTAATTTGTTCCAGTAGATGGGTTTCGAGTTTGGTCCCCAAGCTCTCAATCATTTCATTTTGAATTGTTGCACTCAAATATCTTGTAGATCCTAAAAACATACAAAAAACACAATTTCAAAAAAGTCCTGATATTAAACAGTTAATAATTATAAACAAAATAAAACGATAAAAAAAAACTTAGAAATAATTATTATTACCTTTGGGCATATCCAAAACTTGCCGAGAATGTGATCATATCGGGCGACAAGCTCTACAAAGGACAGAAATTTTCCGTGGTATCCTTTCTGACTTAAGTCTTCTTGATGTCCTCTCAAAGCCAAAGAACTCTTTGCTAGGGTAAGTATGATATCGAATAACCTTTGAAGAACCATTTTCCAAGATGATTCTTCTTTGCGAATTTCATTTTCAAGTTCCTTGTCGATAGTATTAGTATTTTAGCGCGCGTGTTGATTTATGCTGGAGAATGATAGTCCATTCAAACGATGATATTAAACATATAACAGATTTAATGAATATAAGTAACTACAGTGTAGTTAAACATAATTGTAATACAGCTTTAGAAATGACGCGAAGGAAATAGCGAAAGTCTCTAGCGTCAGAGCTGATCGTTGAGATCCGCCATCATCAGGTGCTTGAGCAGGAATGAATAGTGGCGTTCCCCCTGGTAGAGGTGAGGAAAAGGAATGACGTCAAACTCCTTGGTATCGCCATCTGTTGATGGTGGTTGATACTAGTCGCTACAGTATCGTTTTTTTTTTCAAAATTCATACACAGCACATGCTTCCGAATGGCCACTCGAACAACTGTGTTGTTTAATTCTTTCTGATAAATGCTTCCAATCTCGAATTCCCGTACGCCAAACATTATTCCTTTGTGAAGCAAATAACCAGCAGGGTTGACAATAGGCAGCATCTAGTATTTTGGAATAACACTACCAAAAACGATTAACTGGCCCATATTTAGAACACGAAGCGTAGTACGATTTTGAAAAACACCTATTGTTCTGGTTGATGTCTGTTGGAAAAGGTCCTGAAGGCTGTAAAGGCCCCATATCAAGAATTTGACGTTTATCGTTATCACTTAATATCTTGTTCGTGAAGTTTCCCAAGTCATAAGAAAATTTGTCGTACACATTTTCGAAAAATGTAGAGGTCTGTGGTTCCTCCAAACCCTCCGCTCTTATGTGTATCATGCAAACATCATCCACGTTCACATGATCGGCGGTGGAGGTATCTCCAACTGCAATAATTGTCGAATCTTCTTCAGTAAGCTTCTCAACCAACACTGCAGTTAATACATTATTTGAGTCACTATCAATAGAAATATTTTGACCAGATGTATTTGCAGAAGGCTGACTAAACAACCAATTTTGGGCAGTTTTTGTTTACTATCTTCTCTTTCTTGGCGTTTAAATGCAACACTGGGTTTCTTCTTTTTATCCATAATTTTAGTTTTCTAATTTATTTAAACAATACAATATTAGATTGTACTCGAGTAGGTAGGTACTCACTGTTCACTGACGACGTTAAAAGTAAAATAAAGGGAAAGAGAAACACAATGATACGCTACAAGCGTCGTTGGGGAATCCCCGGGGGAAAAAAAATTCTCACCATTAGTGTTACCACAATTAACGGTGGAGACTGTAATGGTTGGCAACTGTTTGGCGACCTGTTAAGGCGCACTTGGCACATTTTGTCATCCCGTCGGAGGGATGCGAGAGAGAGAAAGGTAGATGTATGTTTGATATAATCGGGAGAGGGTCTCCCTTGGTATTCTAAGAGCTGGAAGCTCTTACTGGAAAACAATGCCTATTTCTTTTGTTTTTAAATAAAGTTAAGTTTTATTGTTTTAAAAATCTGGTCTGCTTATTTATTGGAAAGGAAAGGCATTACAGAGACCATGAACGATCTCCTGCCCACGGACCTGAATTAATGTACCTACTGCAGGTGACTTGCCTTTTATCACGATATTTCGCGTTATACAATGAGCTGTAGCCGAAATCTATAGATTTGACACAATTTATTGACTTAACAGAGATCAATATGAGTGGTAAAATCAAATAAAATTGAACCACTATATTGACCAGTAC